AAATTGAGATGTAACTGGCATATGACATTATATTACTTTCAGGTGCACAAAATCATGATTTGGTGTATATATATATATGTATCAACTATATATGTATATGTATCATATTTATGTATTTGATACAAATGATCACAGTAAGTCTAGTTAACAGCCATTGCCACAAATAACTGTATTTTTTTCCTATGGTGAGAGCTTTTAAGATCTGCTCTCTTAGCAACTTTCAAACAGATAATACAGCATTACTGACTATGGACATCAAGTACATTACATCCCCATAGACTCTCCGGGTGAGCTCTGGCTTTTGAGCTCTTGCCCCTTATCTCATAACACCTTCAAAACTGATGGTGCATTCCTTCGTTGGACAACAGCTTCAGGGCTCCACCTACCTCACTGACTTCCCACTTTCCCTTGAAACTTGGCCTAATGATGTCACTTAATACCAGTTTAAAATTTTTATTGCGTTTAAAAAACACCTTTTCTTAATCCAGAAGTTTACATTATTTTCAGTGTGAGGCTTTGTCTGAAAGGGTTATTCAGATTCGGTCACCCTATTTCCCAATTCTTAGGCTTCAGTTATCTCCAACACTCCCCGTCTGCTCACCCTGTCTCTCGCCTCCGCTCTCAAACCCACCGCAGCAGAGCGTTCCTGGTACCAGTCGGCTCACGTCTGTGTCCCGCCTCGAGTGCCTTTCAGCTATTCTCTCTCGGGCTTTCCTTTACACTGTGACAGGCAGCCCACTTTGCACAAGCACGGCCTGTGGGCGTCAGGTGTTAAGGCCCCACAGAAGCTCTCAGCCAATGGGAAGTGCGCCTTGTTGGACAGGTCTCCGTGCTGCCCTTCAAAGGGATACTTCTGAGGTGCGTTCCCCGTCGTTCTTCAGAAGGTCCATGTTGGGATTGCCCTCCAGTTTCCCACAAGGGACCCAGCGCAGTGACTCACCTTCCTTGACTTGTCCCTTTTCCTCGTCTACTCCCCTCTGGATTCCTGGGATCACTGCCCAGATGAGCCACGTACACCCAAGTACCTGTTGCTGTGAAACTGTCTCTCCATAGAAGCTTAAGACCTTACTACTTCTCTCTTCATTTCAATTAACCTTTAAAGAAACTACATTATAGCCAATGTTTATGTTAGGAAACATATGATGGCAAAACTATTATTGCATGCATGTAATATACTTGTATATGTGGATTTCTACTCCGTTATAATTGAATTTCTATAAAATCTACATTGAATTTATATTGAATTCAGTAAAGCGCTTTTGGCAGGGAAACTCACACATCACTGGATGGATGATGGTTCTGAGCTACCACACGATGGCAGTGTCGGCGAGCCTTTACACCTTAGGTTTGGCCTTGTGCAGCGTCTGTGGGAACCGTGTTCTGTGCTGGGGATGAACAGACCATGTTGCACAAGTGTAGGCAGAAGTACCCCTGAAAAGTCTCTCATAACCTTCACCATTGCCCCGCCCTCTCAGGCCAGCTGGGGTCACCTTGACTGGTGCCCAGATGTCAGGCTTCCTCACTCTCTCACAGAGGCCTGCAGACCTGGGCAGATGTCACACACCAAACCAGCCTCTCCCTCACTACCACTGACTGTATTCCATCACTTTTGGTTTCTCTTCGGCCGGTCTAGGAGCTGCTGGCAGTGCTATGTTGCTGGGAGTAAGACAGTTACTGGCATAGCTATGTGGATGCGTGGCTTGGGGACCCAGGCAGGAACTCATGTGGATGATGCGTAGACACGTGGACAGTATACATATTCCTTTTCTGCATCTCTGCTCCAAGACTGAGGATATTTAGACACTGTTTAACCCAAATGGCCCTAGAAGCAGACACTCAGCCTGAGAGTCTGGACTTGGACCATTTTACTCGGCTTGTAAGACGATGATACATCCATGAGCTGGTGACAACCCCTGGCATATGGTAGCACCACACTGGCCTAAACCAGGATGGCTCCCCATTGCCCACTTTTGTAAACAGCGTCTCACTGGAACACAGCTGTGCCCGTTCGTTTACCTGTTGTGCAGGGATGGCCTCACTGAACAGCTGTGACCGAGACCCTACGGCTCAAAAAGCCTGAAATACTTACTATCTGGCCTTTTATGGAGAGGTCCCCACAAGCAAGGAGAATGGCGAGGAGGGCGGAGAAGGGCAGGGAGGAGGGGGCTCCCTGCACCCTCACAGCCTGGCTTCCCTGGACGTCTCCCTGCTGCACCACTCGTCCTTCCCTTACACACTGCTCCACTTTCTTTCTCACAAGCACATGTGTGCAGCCAGTCACTTTCTTATCTGACCAGATACATCCCTTTGGAACTGGTCCAACTGGCTAAATTCCTGTGGAAACAGGGTATCTGTGTTAGGGGAGGGTCCGTGTGTCGGGGAGGTGCAGGCATGCTGAGCAAGTGCCAGTGGTGGGCATCTCCAGGTGATACAATGAAGGGCTGTTCATTTCCATCTTTAATCTTTATTTTCTAGTTACTTGTTTAACTAAATGTATATATTAAGGTACAGGTTTAAAATGTTACAAAAATCCCCAGGAGTCCCGCCAAGAGAAAAGTGCTTGAAATATCCTTGTTGTACACAGCCTTGCCTACGTCTGTGCCCTGGATTTTCTCTTTTTCTTGTTTGCCAAGGAAACTTAGGCCTCCTTCAGCAGCCTTGCACCGGGGAGAGATGTATCAAGAAGGGGGCTATGAAGGCCTTCCAGTGCGGGGCGGCCCCCAGAAAGCAGGGCATGTGTCAGGGTGTGACGGCTAAATAGCTTTTCCTAACTTCCTCTCACCCTGAACCACACGCACCCATATTTGTGCTGTAATGAGTGGGTCTGGCAGGAGTCCGCTAGCTGAAAAACAGCATGAGCCACTTTTGCTTTCAGCTTCAGTTTCATCACCGTTGTGCTGGAAGAGACGACGGACCTGCTCCCTCTTTTTTAGCCTTAGTGAAGGAGGGACAGAGAGGTGGAAGGAGCGAGCGAGCAGGGTGTGAGAGGCACTGAGAACCGTTCTGGTACCCGTGTGTGGAGCAGGTATGTCCTTGCCTTTTATGTGCAGCACAAACCTGATTCCTTTCTTTTGTTTTTGAAGTATAGTTGGTTTACAATGCTGTGTTAGTTGCTGGTGTGCAGCACAGTGACGCAGTTACACACGCATATGTTCTTTTTCATTATCGGTCACTGCAAGGTGCTGAATGTAGTTCAGTGGGACTTTGTTGCTTATCTATTCTGTATGTAGTAATCTGCAAGATTGATTTCTGATTCAGAGTGACACCTGAGGATGGGCAAGTGGCCTGCGGTCTGGCATGCAGGGCTCTGTGGCTGGCTTTAGCTTGAGGGAAGCTCGGCTTCTCTGTTTGGACCAGTGGCAGCTGCAAAGTGACAGCCAGGCACACGGTGTCCCCCTGGATGTGCTGCTCCGTGAGAGAGTCCTCCTGGGAGCCTGCCTGTCTTGCTCTGTCAAGCTCTGTGGGCTGGCTTAGAATTCAGAGAATAAGACAGTCCCTGGCAAGGAGGTTATAGGGAACTGTCATCTAGAGAGACAGTTTCTTTTCAATGTTTCTATTAGCCAGTCTAAGAAAGCTCACAGTGAGAGCTCTGTAAATCTCTATGTAGAGATAAATTTTGTTCCCTCACCCCTGATCTTTATTAGTTAAACATTACAATTGCGTCAAAATTCTCTTTCTTTTTCTGTGTCTCTGGCTCCCCCTTCCTCCCTCTCATTCTCTCGCTTCCCCTCTTCCCCACCCCCACCCCCATGTTTGTGGGTTTGTTTTTTGAAAGAACATTGGAGTCATTTGTAGCATGTTTTAAACGTACACAATCTGGGTTTAATGGTCCCTTTGGATGATTCATCCCATTTTGAAAACCAATCTGGAATAGGATTGAAGAGCTGCAGTTTGTTAATTTGATGTTAAAAATTCTGTGGCTCATTCACAGCTAAGAAATCACAGACCTGGTTTTTACAAAGTTGTTTCCCTCGCATTTTCCTGCAGCTTCCTTTAGTGTTCCCTTTAAAGAGGGGACTGGACAATTCTAGTCATTATAATGTGGCTGTCAGAGGCTCCTGTTCTACCTTTGTGTTCTTTGCTCCCACAATGAAGAATCAGACAAAAGGAGATGGTGCAGGAGCAGTGTTTGAATTTCCTTGCTGCTTTGCTCTGATAAAAATTTTTATTTATAGACCTTGTTTCTTAGTAACCCAAAGTTTGCCGATTGTGTTCAAATGCGTAACCCGATTTGTCTAGTGCAATATTGTGGATACAGCTCCACCTAATTCAATAAACATGCACTGAAACCCCATTTTGTGCTGCATGCTATGCTCAGATACAAGCTAATAGTTATCTAATTTTATTATCAAAACATCCTCCAGACTGGACTTATCATTTTCCTCATATGACCCCTATAATTATTCTTAAAAACTTAGGTTTAGCTAGGTGAGGCTTCTTGTTTAAGGCCACACAAGTAGTAACTGATAAAGCTGGTATTTTTTTAAAAATATTTTTGATAGTATTTGAGGCATCTTTAATATTTGACTTATAAATATGAAACTGAATATTTGAGACATTTGAATATAATATCATATTTATATAGTCTAATTATGAAACATGCATATGTGTTACAGGGAACTTTTAGTACAATGGCAATCAAAACCATGCCCGAAGACCCGTGGTGTAACTGTGCTCTTGAGGCTTGATTTTGTAAATCAGATTGTGCCTTGGAAGACAATGACAAGGGAATCTCTTGTTCTTTTCACCTAGATTTACCCACCGGTTACATTTTGCTGGATTTGCTTTATCTCTCTGAATATATGTATATGTCTCTCAAAAGAATATAAATGATATTTGCATTTTCATTCTTATTTTCATTTATGGGATTAAGTTGCAAAAAGTCTGACCCTTCTCAGCTAAGCACTTTGGACTAAATCTCTTAAGATTCAAGACATCTTCCTGAAACAGAAGAAGAGTGGCAAGTGGAAGAAGGAGCAGCTGTGTGGGAAGGTCGCTCCACAGTGTGCGGCCCCTGCTCAAAAGGGGAGGCAGGCAGAGGGGAAAGGCTTCAGTATTTTACCTATGAGTGTGATGCTAGCTGTGAGTTTTCCATACACAGCCTGTATTATGTTGAGGTAGTTTGTTTTTACTCCTAGTTTTATTGTTTGGTTTTCACATATTTGTGAATTTTGCAGTTTTACTCCATCTATTAATTTCTAGTTTAATTTCACTGGGTTCAGAAAAGATAATTTGTATGATTTTAGCCTTTTAAAATTTGTTAGGGCTTGTTTTGTGGCCTAAAATATGATCTATCCCTTGGAAATATTCCATGCCCATCTGGGAAAACGTGTGTTCTCTTGTTGTTGGATGGGAGTGTCTGTATATGTCTGCTGAGCTCAGTTAAGCTATAGTGTTGTTCAAGTCCTTCATTTTGTTTTTGACCTTCTGTCTGTTTTTTCTACCTATTATTGCAAGTAGGGTATTAAACTCTCCTACTATTGTTGAGTGATCTGATGCTCAGTTCTGTCAATGTTTATTTCATGTATTTTGGAACTCTGCTGTTCAGGATATACATATTTAGAATTGTTTTATCTTCTAGATAAACTTGACTCTTTTAACACAATGTCCTTCCTCGTCTCTTTTAACAGTGCTTGAAACACATTCTCTTTTGTCTCACAGAGGCATAAGCACAACAGTGCTCTTTTCGTTGTTATTTGCATAGAATACCTTCCTGGGGAGTACAGTAAGGTGGTAGTTGCGGGGGCAGACCTGTCTCCAACCTGTCCGGTGGCAAACCAGCACCCATTCACTCCTTCTAGCCTAGGCTTCTCCAGCCTTTCTACCTGTTTCAGTCTTTCTCCAAGTAGCCAAGGGGGCTTGTCTCCTCTGTGTAGGACCCCAGGACTGGGATGCCCAGTCTGTGGCTTGACCTACTCACTCCTCAGGGTTAGGGTCTGTTTGCACCATCTTCCTTTTCCTCTTAGTCCGTCCCCAGGTGCACAGGTCCCAGCCTAAAGTTTTCACCCCTGCCCTACCTAATTATGTCGAAATATGCCTTGAAATCTTGATTGTATAGGAGTTCTTCTGTCAGTTTTCAGTGGGAAATTCTTTTCCATCATCTTGATCCCCCTCCTCTGGAATCAAGTATTCTTGATTGACAGTTTCAACCCCCACCCCATCACTTTCAGTTTTTAGCAATTTAAATGTATCATTCCACTGCCTTCTGGACTCCAAATATTTTGTTGAGAAATTGACTGACAATCTTATTGGATGTGATGAGTCACTGCTTTCTTGTTGCTTTCAAGATTCTCTCTTTGTCTTTTGACACTTTGATTATAATATGCCTCAGCATTGGTCTCTGATGCTTTATCCCACTGGAGTTTGTTGAGCATCTTGCATTTGTAGATGCTTGTATTTCATTGCACTGGGATTTTTCAGCCATTATTTCCCCAGATAATCTCTCTGCCCTGCCTCTCCCTTCTGCTTTAGGGACTTTCACAACGCACATGTCTGTCTACTTGACAGTGTCCCATAACTCTCTTAGGCTACACTCACTTTTAAAAAGTTATTTCTTCCTTCTGCTCCTGAGACTTGGTAACTTAAAATGTCCTGTCTTCAAGTTTGCTGAGACTTTCTTTTGCCTGCTCAAGTCTGATCCCCTTTAGAAAATTTGTAAACTCATTTACTGTATTTTCCAGCTTCAGAATTTCTGTTTGGTTTCTTTTCTTCTTATTATTATTTTTATCTCCTTATTGATTTTCTAATTTTGTTCACATATTGTTTTTCTGATTTTCTTTTGTTCTTTTTCTGAGTCTTCCTTTAGCTTTTTGAGCATATTTTTAAAAGTTATTTTAAAGTCTTTGCCTAGAACATCTAATGCATGTGTTTCTTCAGAGTTGTTTTTTACTTTATTTCATTCCTTTGAAAGGGCCATATTTTCTTTTTTTTTTTTTTTTGGTATGCCTTGTGATTTTTGCTGTTGATGTTGTAAAATTGGATATTTATTTATTTATTTATTTTAAATGGAGGTATTGGGTATTGCACCCAGGACCTTGGATATGCTAAGTACATGCTCTACCACTGAGTTACTGTCCTTCCACTCCCTGAAATCTGAGCATTTATGAAAGCCGTCACCTTTCCCATCCTTTGCATACAGGCTTTGTGACAAGGAAGTCTTTCCCTAAGCTGGCCCTTGGTTTTGAGGCTTGGGATCAAGCTAAGGAGAAGCCTTAAAGTCTTCTTAGGCTTTTCTGAACATGCATCTTCCCTGGGCCTGTGTGTTGCGTTTTGAATTTTCCCATATATGTGCTCCTTTTAAGTATATTAATTTCCCAATGGGTCACCACATATGTTAGCATTTTTTTCACACTAAGCAATTCTGACACTAACTGCCAAGAGTTAGTTCATCCCTACAGGTTAACGGCTCAGTCCCACAAGATGTCCCCTCAGCTCAGATGCAATTACAAATCCAGGCTGCCACCTGTGCTTCTGACTAACTGGCTACACACTGGAGTTTCCCGCCGTCTCTTCCCCAGGTTCAGTGATTTGCTAGGATGGCTTAAGACTCAGTAAGGATAGTTTACTTACTGGATTACTGGTTTATTTTAAGAAAGGATACAACCTATAAACAGCAAAATAGAAGAGATGCAGAGGGAAAGATATCGAGAAAGGGGTGTGGAGCTTCCATGACCCCTTTGGATGTGCCACCCTCTAACCACCTCCACATGTTCATCAAGCCAGAAGCTCTCTACCCCTTCAGTTTGTTTTTGTTTTTGATGGAGGATTTATTAGATAGGTACGGTTGAATAAACTATTGGTCATTGGTGATTAACTCAACTTTCAGCTCTTCTCTGCTCCCCAGAGATTGGGGCATCAAGCTAAATGTTCCAACTGTCTAATAACATTGGTTCCCCTGGCAACCAGCTCCATTCTGTAGTGATCCAGGGGCTTTACAGAATCACCTCATTAACACAAACTCAGGTGTGGCTGAAAGGTGCTTGTTATGAATAACAAAAGACTCTCCTCTCATCTTTATCACTCTGGAACTATTTTAGGAATTGAGGACAAAAGACTAAGGGTTATAAGAAAGATAATTTCATCTCTCTCATCACATAGGGTTTTAAGAGCTATGTACCAGGGATAGGGACAACAATCAAATATGTATTTCTTATTATAAATCTCAACATGCCCATAATGTCTTGCCATAGGTGTCTGCAGGTCATTCTCCCTGCAGGTTTCCCAAGCAATGCCCACCGCTTCTCCCTGCCTAAGATCCAAATAGGGGAAAAAGATAACAGTCCTTCAGGCAGCCCATGAGATGTTAGAACATTGTAAATGCAGTCTGCTCTGCTTTGTTTAGTTTGAAGAAGGGAGTTGGAAACTGAAATGATGCCTTAGATAGTCTATTTTATATCTTCACTGCTAATCTCTTGCTCTAGGCATCTGTGGAGCTGTCTCTCCACATTTTTCTTGAACAATACCCACTGCTTCTTTCCACCTGATGTCCAAGTTATGCCACCACCTACCCCTCTGCCACCCCTCCCTGAGATTTATGCGAGGTGAAACAGAGACCTGAAGAGGCAGTCCTGACAGGTTAGAACATTATAAAATTCCCTCCCTCTGGATCAAGGGAGGGAATGGGAAATGAGTTGCCACTTCCTCCGACAAAGACCTTACCACAATAGGGACCAAGGGCAACAGAAACACCGCAGAATTTCCTACCATTTCAAATGAGGCTGTTTCTTGATTGGGTACGTGGCTGGCTGCTTTGGACCTTTGACTGTTTTACAGAACTACTGGAAGGTTATTCTGGCCAGTATTTTGGTTGTTTTTGATGTCTAGTTGGAGAAACAAGAGCTTAGAGCTTGCTAGCCTGTCATTTTGCTCAAGTATATAGATTTTTCAAGCCTTGCTCAATCACTTACTCACTCAGCCTTTGTGAGAACCATTTACCTCATTTGTAAAGTAGTTATATTAATTTCTAACTTTCAGCCTCTTGTGAGTATCAGTTTAGCTGGGTATGTAAGTTACTATTAAAGGGCTTGGTATATTGTAGGCCTTCAGAGCATCGTAACAATAACTTTAATTATATTATTATTTTGAAGTAACGCTTTGGAGAGTGATATTATATTATTTCACTACCAACATCATGAGAGACTTGAGGGAATGATGGGGGAAAACCTCTGCAGTATGCTAATTCTAGGTTACATTTTGTCTCATGGAAAGCGCAGAAGTCTTACTTACCCTATGCTAAGTCGATGGATGCTTTGTATAAGTCTGAGTTAGAGAACAACTTTGTAATCTGATTTCCAGTAGGAAGCTCTTCTCGGTTGGCTGGTTGCCATGGCATCTGGACCCAACATGATGGACCCCATTTGTCTGCTGGAAAATGATGATGAGCTGCTGTCAGTGAACAAAGAAGCTCTGCAGATTCTTGGTGAGATTTCTCAGCCAGTGGTGGTGGTGGCCATCGTAGGACTGTATCGTACGGGCAAATCCTACTTGATGAACCGTCTTGCAGGTCAGAACCGTGGTAAGTATTGTACTGGGTCAAGGGCCAATTGCTTGATTCTAGCTAATATCTCAGCTTCTTAATTTTCGTCCCTGGTCATGTGTAGGGAGGACCAAACTTCTCTTAATAAACCAACTTTCCACTTCTATTTCTCACTGCGAAATCACTATCTTGGTGTAATTTGTTATCATATTCTTTGTTTTATTCCTGTAAAGCAAAATTTCTTCTGCTGATGCACACAATCCTACCTTATTTTACTTGCTTAAGCACTGGGCTCTTGCAATCATGTCTACTCTCTCTTGAAATACATTTTGCTTTTTTATGGCATATTCTCATCAGCATATGAAGATGTTTGAATATCTACAGTCTTAAAAATCTTTCCTGGATGTCATATCCTACTGTGGCTAACACCTCTCCCCACTTTTAAAAAATAATTTTGTTTGGCAAAAAATATAATCTTGATTTCTTTTTTCCACTTCTTTCTCTTCCCATGTTTCTCTTCAGTCCACTTCTCTCTGGCTTTGAACCCGACCATTCTTTCAAAATACTCTTGTTATGGCTACCAGTGACCTCCATTTTGTTGGATTCATGGATTCCCCTTTGCCCCCGTGTGGAGCCCTTGCTTGGTATCCTTCTCACAGTTAATATTCCCTCCTCCTTGGAACAGATGACACACAAAGTAGGACATTCTTGAGGAAATGGAGAAGCACCATGCCGTATGCTGGGGTACTGACATTCCAACAGATCTGACTTTGTGGCCCCTTGGCTGCTTAGATTATCTGCTCTCACTGAGTGCTGCTTTCTCCCCTCTCCTCGCAGGCTTTCCTCTAGGCTCTACAGTGCAGTCTGAAACCAAGGGCATCTGGATGTGGTGTGTGC